TTTTTTTTTTTCTTTCCAACACTTTATTGTTCTTTAGGTGAAAGTTTACATACACAGTAAATTCATTTTCCAATCGATAGTTCGTACAGAAATTCCTCCTTGACATTGGTTGCAATCCCAGCAATGTGCTAGCTTTCTATTCTTCAGCTTTCACCAGCCTTCCCTCTTGTGTCATCTTTGATTTTAGGCACATGTTGCCCTTTTGACCTTTGATGGCATAGAGTTGATTGTTCTTAGGTACATATTTTTCACAGGTGTTAGTGTGTATTTTATAGTCCCAAGTATTATTTGGTTGTAGGATAAGCACTGGACTATTAACACAAGCTCGGTGGTTCAAGTCTACCAGCCGCTCTTTGGAAACTCTATACAAGGCTGCTATGAGTTGGAACTGACTCAATGGCACTTAACAACATTATTTGGCTGAAGGTGGCCTCTGGGAATGTCTTCAGTTTCAAATTAGAAGGCTATTTCAGGGTAACAGGGATTCCTCTACTCTTTCAAACCAGTAAGTCTGTTCTTTTTTATTTAACTTTGAATTTTGTTCTCTATTTTTTAGCCATTTTAACTGGGACCTTCTATTGTGGTCTCATTCAGTATTCTTCATTTTGTGTTTGACTTATTGCTCTCAGCATAATGTCTTCCAGATTTACCCATGTTATGAGATGTTTGGCTGATTCATCACTGTCCTTTATCTTTGTGTGGGAAGCAATTAGTTCAGAGGTGTCCATGAAGTACAGCCTCCTCTAACTGTAAACCAGAAGTAGACAGTGCCCATACTACCACACCTGAGCACTCTGACTAGGACCACAATAAAAGGTCTCTGTTAGACATTTACAAGATGCTTGCAATCATATCAAAATCGCAACTTAGTGACTGAACTATGTATTCTGGAACCAGTTTCAAAAATCCAAGCTCTGCTGCTTCCTAGCTGTGTCAATGTATGCCAGTTTCCTCATCTGTATAAATGGAAACGATCATTGTAGTATCTCAAATATGGCTGTCCTTAGGCGGTACAAACAGTTAACACACTCAGCTTCTAATCAAAAGGTTGAAAGTTCAAGTCTACCTCAAGGTGTCGCGGAAGAAAGGCCTGGTGATTAACTTCTGAGAAGTCAGATAATAAAGAGCCTGTGAAGCACAGTTGTATTCTGGAATCTTGGTGTGGAGTTGTGGGTAAATGCACTGGACTCCAAAGTCAGTTTGAACCACAAGGTTGGCAGTTCAAGCTCACCATCCACTACTCGGAAACCCTACACAGGGTTGCTATGGGTCGGAACCGACTCAGCGGCACACATAACAACACAGTTGTATTCTGATACACGAGGGTTTGCTTTAAGGCAATTCATAATAACTGGTACTGGTAAAACCATTGTGAGGATTAAAAGTGAAAATTTGTAAAGTACTTAAGACTGCCTGGCATGCAGTGAGCATGTCAGGTGAATGATTTATTTATTTGTCTGAATTTAAGATAGTGTTTAGGTAAAAGGGCAATAGTTTTTTTTTTTTTTTTCTTTTTTCTATTTAGCAAAAAATGCATATTTTGCTAATGATAAAAATACGTAATACAAAATTCTCTTTTATTCTGAGTGATTTCTAAATCTCTAGCTTTATCTTCCTTTTCTTATTAATCTGCTGAACTAATACTAGACATTTTGTCTCAATCAAGTGACAAATCTAGAGGTCATGTTGACTCTTAAGAGTTTCTAGCATTATTTTTAATCATGCAAGGCTTTTTTTTTTAAAGTGAAATTTAAACTGGGAGTAAGCAGCAAAGCTTAGAGTCCTGCCACAGCTTGCTGACACATTGCTGGTATCAACACTCTGGATGCATCATCTTCTAGACTACAGCAGTCTCTCAAAGTGCACAGCTGGGATTCTTGCATAGCAATTACCTAAAAGACTTGTTTTATCCCTGGGGGACTGGATCCCACCCCATATATGTTGAAGCAACATCTCTGGGAGTTAAAACCAACTACAAAAAACCACCTGTTGCCAGGTCCTCAATTCTGACTTACTGCCCCAAAGGGTTTCCAAGGTTGTCAATCTTATCCAAGCAGAGTCACATCTTTCTCCCATGAAGCACCTGGTGGGTTTGAACCACCAACCTTCAGATTAGCACTCAATTGCTTAATAACTGTGCTATCAGTGCTTTGTGTTCCTGCAGATTCAAAGCCTTGGAAAACCTACCCAAGGTCACTATGAGTGGGAACTGACTCCACAGCACTGAGCAACAACGTATTCATTAGAGTCCTGCTGTGGCACTGTAGGATACATTCTGCACTGCTTACTGCCAGGTTGGTGGTTCAAACCTACAGCCGGTCCTCAGAAACCCTACGCAGAGTAGACAATTTATCAAGAGGACCAGTCCCTGCCAAAGGACATCATGCTTGGTAAAGTGATGATGAGGAAAACCCACAAGGAGATGGACTGGCACAGTGGCATCAACCATAGTTTCAAGCGTAATCAGTTGTTAGGATGGCGCGGGACCTGGCAGTGCTTTGGTCTATTGTGCATAGGGTCGCTATGAGTCAGAACCGACTCTACAGCACCTAACAACGCCATCTAATGAGTCTGAACTGACTGGAAAGCATTTCACAACATATTCATTACAACTCAATTCGATCACAAGATAACCTGTTGTTGTTGTTGTTAAGTGCCGTCGAGTCGGTTCCGACCCATAGCGACCCTGTACAGGGTTTCCGAGGGTGTAAATCTTTAAGGGAGTAGAAAGCCTCATCTTTCTCCCGCGGAGCGGCTGGTAGTTTCGAACCGCTGACCTTAAGGTTCACAGCTCGATTCGTAACCACTACGCTACCAGAGTTCCTACAAGATAAATAAAGAACCTGTAATTAAAGAGCGTAGCATAACTTTCATTTGTGTACAGAACATATATTTTACAGTTGTGGTCTATTATGCCATTTTATGCTGCCAAGAGTTTTTATTCTATGTAATTTTCAGCAGAGTCCTTCATCCTTTGAGGCAAGGTAAAAAAAAAAAGAAAAGAAAAGAAAAAAAAAAAAGATATGGTTTTTGAATGGAAAGAGCTACCTAGGTGTGATCTTGGACAATGACATGTATCATGTTTAAGAATCAAGTTTATAAATTGTAAACGATAACATTTTGTAACTCCACCAACTTCATGGGGTTGCTGAAGCACAAATGATAGTATGTATGAAAAATAGTTATAGTTAGTAGGTGGCCTAAAAAATAAAAAACAAAACAAAAAAGATGTTTCTAAGTCTTTCTCAAGACTTTAACTAAGTTTCTGTGTAAGTATGTTTCTCTAAAGCATACAGAAATGAGCAGATAATAGAAACAACAACAAAAAAATTTACTGAATTAAGCACAATATGCAATCAGAACGTGTATTTAGCATTTATATATCAAGCAGAGCACCGAGTGAAAAACGGTGCTGAAATGAATCCAAATCTGCCCTCCAGGAGTTTAATTCCTTTGCGTAGATTAATTACTAGCAAGTAGTTTCTCCATAGTTCAAAGCTCCCCATGATCTCCCAAACAAGAGGAAATCTGCAGACGCTTTCTCTTTAACATATAACAGAATTCCGATTGCATCGATCATAGACGGCCTATCACTGCCACCCCTGTTCCTTTCACATCCCTCTCGTTCCATCCTAATTACAAATTCCCATCTCAGCTTCACGGCAGGGAAGGACATGTATTAACCAACGCTGACTTTGGTGTAGAATCGCACCTTATCCCCGTGCTTTCAGTCAGACCGCAGGCCGAACCTCGGGTTTCTCCGGCGCTAGCAAGGTCTCTGAGCTCTACTGGACATGCCTGGAGCGCGGGGTTTGACTGGGCCGCCGTTGTTGTAGTGACCGGGAGGCGCCGGCGCTTCAGGCAGACGGTTCCGGGCGCCTCACGGTTCCCCTTCCAGCCCCAACCCCTTCCCTTCCCAACCCTATTCCCCCACCGGCGGGAGCCCAGCACCGGCCGCTGCCCCCATGGCCTCCACCCCGGTAAGGATGGATTGGGGGCGATTCCCCGGATCCATGGGCAGTGGGCAGCGGGGCCAGGTCCGGGCCCCTACCACACCTGGCGGGAGGTGAAGGCAGGTGTCCGCTCCTCGAACCCAAGCCTCTGGTCCTTAGTCTCCAGGTGTCCACGTCCCTCCCTCGGTGACCGGGGCGGTAAAGGCTTCAGGAGCACGGCGGTGTTCCTCCCCGCATCCCAGAGCTTCGGAAGGAGCCGGGTCGGGCGGCGCCGTAGCCCTCGGAATTCTCTGTTTTCGCCCAGTGTGTGCGTCAGAATCCTCGGGGAGGTTTAGTAAAAGTCCCGAGGCCGGCGCCCCGCCCCTCGCTGCGCACTCCGGCCTGGGAATGTGCATTTTAAGTGCGCTGTCCAGGTGGTCCCCGGGGCGCGCCGGAGCCTGGCAGAGGCCAGCGAGAGATTGTGCCGGCGAAGTGGGTGCCCAGCGTCGGCATGCCCGGGTGCGGGGCGCTTCCCAGGCCGAGCCCCGGGGGAAGGGGCAGCCTTGGCCCCTGGCCTCCCAAGTTGGAAGTCTGCACCAACTTTCCAAACCTGACAACTTTCCTTACCAGGAGGACCCGGTTCTGGAGCGTTACTTTAAGGGCCACAAAGCTGCTATCACCTCCATGGACTTCAGCCCCAACTGCAAACAACTTGGTAAGTTTCATTCTCTCCTTTTTCCTTTTGTAATGAGACAGAAGGTCTACTGACGGGAAACCTTGTCTCCTGCTCAGGCTGTGACCCCTGCCTCTCGCGGAGAACCACTTGGGACTCCTGGGGGGGGGGGGGGGGGAACTCTGCAGGCATTGTCGATCGTGACACCCCCACCCCCTACCGCGGGCCCCAGAAAGAGCCCCGCTCGGAATGTTCTCGCCGAAGAATTGCTCCGAGTTACCACCAGGAGGAGTGAGTGGGAAGGGGAGGGGTTTGTTCTCCGTCTGGGGAGGGTGGGGTGTTGGCTGGAGAGTTTGTGAAAAGTTGTGAGACGAGCTGGAGGAAGTAGGGAGAAAAAAGTTGGGGCTGTGCTGGGGCCGGGGACCGAGATACCTCAGGTGGCCCCTGGAAAGCCTCAGTGGTTGGAGAGGAGCCGAGAGCCTGCCTCAAAGAGAGGGACCTGCTGAGAAGTTGACCCCTACCTGAGCTGGGAAGTCAAGCTGCGGGTCCCACAGCCCTGCTTCGTGGTGGCGCTCGCTCGTGGCTGCGTCTGCGCCCCAGACATGAGGATCCAGATGGCCGTGAGGTGGACCTGGGCAGGCAAGAGCTGCCTGCTACTGGCGTTTTTAACCGTGGCTTATATCCTAGTGGAGCTCTCGGTCTCCACTTTCCATTCCTCTCGAGGAACCGGCCTTGCCCTGGAGCGGTGGCAAAGACAACTCTCTGACTCTGAGGAAAAGGCAGAGGATTTATCTCGACCGCTCTATAAGAAGCCTCCTGCGGATTCTCATGCACTTGGAGAGTGGGGGAAAGCCAGCAAACTCCAACTCAATGAAGGTGAACAGAAGCAGGTAGAAGAGCTCATTGAGAGATATGCCATCAACATTTACCTCAGTGATAGGATATCCCTCCACCGCCATATAGAGGATAAAAGAATGTATGAATGTAAGTCGAAGAGGTTTAACTATAGGAGACTTCCCACCACTTCTGTCATCATAGCTTTCTACAACGAAGCCTGGTCGACTTTACTCCGCACTATTCACAGTGTTTTAGAAACCTCCCCTGCAGTCCTTTTGAAGGAGATCATCTTAGTCGATGACTTGAGCGACAGAGTTTATTTGAAGACGCAACTTGAAAGTTACATCAGCAATCTTGATCGAGTCCGCTTGATTAGAACCAATAAACGAGAGGGGCTGGTTAGGGCCCGTCTGATTGGTGCCACTTTTGCTACTGGAGATGTCCTCACTTTTCTAGATTGTCATTGTGAATGTAATACTGGTTGGCTGGAACCACTTCTGGAAAGGATTGGTAAAGATGAAACAGCAATTGTTTGTCCTGTTATAGACACCATTGATTGGAATACTTTTGAATTCTACATGCAGACAGGGGAGCCCATGATTGGTGGGTTTGATTGGCGTCTAACATTCCAATGGCATTCTGTACCCAAACATGAAAGGGACAGGCGGTCTTCCAGAATTGACCCTATTAGATCGCCCACCATGGCTGGAGGACTGTTTGCCGTCAGCAAGAAATATTTTGAGTACCTTGGAACCTATGACACTGGAATGGAAGTCTGGGGAGGTGAAAACCTAGAGCTGTCTTTTAGGGTGTGGCAGTGTGGTGGTAAATTGGAAATCCACCCGTGTTCCCATGTGGGCCATGTGTTCCCAAAACGGGCACCCTATGCTAGGCCCAATTTCCTACAGAATACTGCTCGAGCAGCTGAAGTGTGGATGGATGAGTATAAACAGCATTTCTACAATCGAAACCCACCAGCAAGGAAAGAAGCGTATGGTGATATTTCAGAAAGAAAGTTACTACGAGAACGGCTGAGATGCAAGAGCTTTGACTGGTATTTGAAAAATGTGTTTTCAAATTTGCACATTCCCGAGGACAGGCCAGGCTGGCATGGAGCTGTCCACAGTATTGGGATTTCTTCTGAATGTTTAGATTATAATTCTCCAGACAACAACCCCACAGGTGCCAACCTTTCCCTGTTTGGATGCCATGGCCAAGGAGGAAATCAATTCTTTGAATATACTTCTAACAAAGAAATACGGTTTAATTCTGTGACGGAGTTATGTGCAATGGTCCCTGAACAAAAGAATTATGTTGGGATGCAAACTTGCCCTAAAGATGGGTCTCCTATTCCAGCAAACATTATTTGGCATTTTAAAGATGATGGAACCATTTTTCATCCACACACAGGACTGTGCCTGAGTGCTTATCGGACACCTGTCGGCCAGCCTAATGTACAAATGACAACTTGTAATGCTCTAGATCAAAATCAATTGTGGAGGTTTGAGAAGTAGGAGAGTAGAACCTGCACTTTGGTGGTGAGCTGACGAGAGCTTCAGGAAAGTCAGCCTTTCAGGAGCCTAGTGAAGATTGTATTGTATCAGAACTCACCTAGGGTTCACTTGGAGAGCTCTGTCAAAGCTGTGGTTCGTTTTGGTATATTGCACTGAAACTGGGTCCGCAGCATGCTGCTGTTTAATATTTCTAAGTGCCTTACTTATGGAGTGTTTTATTTAAGAACGTTGTCAATATGATCCCTGATAGTTTCTCTTAGGAGTGACTGTGAATTGAGCTGCACAAAACCTTTAAGTGCCAGATTTAATATTAAAGAATTTAAGACTCTAAGCAAAAGGAGGTATGGTTTATGGTGTTGGGGTAGTTTACTATGCATACTATTTAAAACAAAGCAACAACTTAGAAATGTGTAGTTTGAACTCATGCTATTTTGATTACATACAGATTTTCTTTGTTTTTTTAAAATCTTATTTTCCTTCAATGAAATAGAAATCAAAGAAAGTTGATTTGATGGGAAAAGACCTAGTTTAGATATATGTATTATTGAAAGAAGGCATTCACTTGAATGTGAGTTTGTATGTCTTTTTACTTACTCCACAGACATCTCAGAGAAGTATAGCCTTATTCTGAATCAAGTGGGGAGACATTTACATTTCATATTTTATAAACTTGAGCTGTTGGACTTAATCTATATTGATACCTCACATCACTCTGATTTTGTAAGCTGTCCTCTCTGTGAACTTTGTGTGTGTAGGGCATTTTCTCATTGTACTTCCTTGAGTTATAAATGTATTGAAAAGGGATTCATTCAGAATACTGTGCCTCCCTTTGCTAATGTTTAATCATTTAAAGTAAACACAGTTGAGGCCTCTCAGAAGTTAAACACAGCTATGTTTACTGCAAAGTGTAAATCTGAAAGTGGACCCGATTCTATAAGGGCTGCGGTACTTTTCTATGAGTTCTTGCTGATTAGGTTTTCAGAATTACATCAAGAAAAAAGGACTGCGCTAGCCATCAGGAGAGCTGCCCTCCAGCTGATTTTCGTCACCGGGTACCTAACTTGGCACTTAGATAGCTTTCAGTAACTGGTTGGATGAATGAATGACTGGCTCAGCCAAGGACTTTGGTCAGGCCATTTGATGTGTTTGGGCCGCAGTTTCCTCATTGATAAAATGAGGGTGCTGCATTAGATCTTGAATGTCCCAACAAGCTTTGAAATGTTATCATTGCCCTTCTCAGATTCAGTCACTGTGCAATCTTTAGAATACTTTTTCTCTCTTCACTTTTAACATCAGTAATGTTGTTGAGTGACATATAGGCCAGTTGTGAAGCTGGAAAATAGTTTAAAAATTAAGTGAGCTGAGCTCAACTAAAGTGGTTTATTTTGGTTTGGGTGAAATACTATCAGTGTTTGTTGTCATTTCGTTTTGATAACCATTGAATCATTTTTGTGTTTAAAATTTTTCAAACTCTAAACATTTATAAACTCAAAGAATATAAATATTGGCCAAATGAAATTATTTGAGATGTATACTTTTTTTTTTTGAAAACATAGGCTTCTTTTTGTATACACTGATTTTATTCCAGTGTCATATCTGCAAGCCAGTCTTACTTTAAAATTAAATTACAATTATTTCAGTTTGATCTAGAGTTATGGAAAGTGTTATGCTCCATAAAGAATTAATCCAAAATATTCACAAATAAAGTTGTTTTTGGTATTTACTTAACAAGTTAGAGTAAGAACTTTGCAAAAGCTGAATTTAAGAAAGATTTTTAGAATAACTATTTCAAAAAAGAAAAAGTTGATGTATATTTTTAAATATTTTGTTCCTCTTTTGCCTCTTAAAATGAAAATGAAAATTAATAGTTTCTGTAAATTATCTAGCATCCTAAACATTTTTCAGAGAATGATCCAGTTCCAAATGCAGTATGTATGGCCCTGGATATAATTTAAGAAGGATTGATGATAGAGCTCTGGAGTTTTCAGAAAATTAATCCATGTCTCTTCCCTTGCATAGTCTATGTTGTTGTTGTTTTTAACCACTCTTTCTCTTTCTATTTTCATTTTGTTATTTCTGTTAGCCCCTTACCAGATGGGAGAACCAAAATTTTAAATTCTGGATACTAGAATTGCTTTCATTCTAGAATCTTGCTAAGCCTTGTCAGAACAGAAAAGAAGCTTTTAAAAACCAACTGGTTCCTAATTCTGTAGTTTCAATTTGCTGTAGATTGCTTGGTGTGACCCAGAAATATTTTTAGAAGAAACTTTAGGCTAGTACTTTATACCAGTAATCCAGAATATTTGGACTGTGAATTTCTCACAATAGTATAGGCAATAAAAGAACAAGAACTTCACATTTCCAGATACAGACATATCCCAGTTTACTGCCACTTCAAAACCATAATGTAAAGCTACATACGAAATACATTTTGATTTCTCAATTTTTATTTATTGCTACCAAAGATTTCTTTTGCTGCAGACAAGTAAGAGTTGACCTTTTAAGTGAATTTACCTATTTAATAGCAGTTTTAATAAAATACATTATAGTCAAGTGGTTTCTACTTCAGATATTAATTGTATCACTTAGTGTCCAATATTAAGAATTGATTGAGGAGACATTTTTAATAGTATTAAAAAAATCTAACCATCTGATGAATCTCTGTAATTCAAAATAACTTGTTTGTAATAGAAAATTCTAGCTGATTCATTATATGTTGCCAAATAAAACTTAGAGGTTGAAGATGAGAGATTATTTTGAAGTTGTGTAGTTTTAGTTGGTTTGGAGGTCTCAATTTTAATTAAGAAAATAATTGATTTTTGCCTGTTTGACCTTTGGAATTGTTGTTTTAACAATGTTTTAAAATGAGCACAAAGAATGTTGGAATCAGAGTGATCTTTTTTTTGAACATTGAGTATTTTTCTTTGTGATGAGCAATTTCTGTACTTTTTCCCTTTTATTAATGACCTCTGCAGTGTCAGTTAAGACATTTAAATAAAATGTGTGCCTAATTTTTTTTTGCAAATGTATTCTGATTATTTTGTTCTCTTGGGATAACTGCCCAATGTACACATTTATCGATGATGTTGTAGTTAAAGTGCCATCAAGTCGGTTTTGACGTATAGTGATCCAGTATAGGGTTCCCAAGGAGCAACTGATGGGTTTAAATCATCAGTCTTGTGGTTAGCAGTCCAATGCTGAGCCTACAATGCTATACCAGCACTCCTTATTGATGGTGGTGGTGGTGTGTTGTGGAATCAGTTCCAACTCAGTGACCCTGTATAGGGTTTCTGAGGCTGTAAATCTGTACGGGAACAGAAAGCCTCATCTTTCTCCCACAACACGATTGGTAGTTTTTAAATGCTGACCTCAAGGTTAGTAGCCCAATTCATAACTGCTATGCTACCAGAGCTCCTTATTGATGGTAACAGTGGTAAATTAAGCTTTGTTAATTGTTGTTGTTGTTGTGTGCAGTGGAGTCGGTTCCGACTCATAGCGACCCTGTACAGGGTTTCCGAGGCTGTAAATCTTTACGGGAGCAGAAAGCCTCCTCTTTCTCCCGCGGAACAGCTGGTCGTTTTGAACTTCTGACCTTACAGTTCACAGCCCAATTCGTAACCACTATGCTACCAGAGCTTGAAAATTCAGATAGTAGAATATAAGAAAGTCAGGATCCCTGCATTATTTTGCAAGGTGTCAGTAGCCAGCATATCTTTTGAAGTGGTGTTAGCTGTCTTATTGCATGAACTACTCTTGAACAAACTGGACATGATGGGGCCCATTGAAGTACCTAGAATGTGCCAAGTGGGCACTTACAATCCTGGATTGAAAAGTAACATGTCTGCCTTATCACATAGCTTGGCATGTGCTCTCCTTTCTCTGTGTGTCTCCCTGTGTATAAGAGCACACCCTTCCACCTGTAGCATCTTACTTTCTCTCTAGCGATTTCTAGTACTCCAGCCCCACCCCCATCTGCTTTCCAGCTACACACTGCCTAAGAATGCTATTCTAAGGACTCACATATCAGATGTCTTATTGTTAAGTGCAATGTATTTTTGCTGATTTCTTATGCAGCTCATTGTTGTTAAGTGCTATGGAGTCAGTTTTGACATATAGGGTTTCTGAGGCTTTTAAAATCTTTTTTTTTTTTTTTTTTTGCAGGATCAGAGAACCTCATCTTCTGTGGTGTCTTGTGAGCTCAAGCCACCAACCATGTGGTTCACAGTCCAGTGCTTATAAAATGCAGTTTGCTTTTGTTGTCAAGTGCCAGAGAGTCAGTTTTGACTCATAGACCCTGTATAGCATTCACAGGGAGCGATTGGTGGGTTTGAACTGCCTACCTTTCAGTTCAAATTGACCTTGCAGCCCAGTGCTTATCCTACAGTGCCACACCAGGACTGCCCTGCGCAGGCTGTTAAGAAAACCTTTCTTTATTTAACTTTTTACTATAGTGGTCTCATACAATGTTTGTCCTTTCATGAATGACTAATTTCACTCAGCATAATACCCTCCAGGTTCAACCATATTGTGAAATGTTTCACGGATTCATCATTATTCTTCAGTGTTTTGTGGTATTCCATTGTGTGTATGTGCCAGAGTTTGTTTAACCATTCTCCTGTTGATGGGTGTTTAGGCGGTCTCTATCTTTTTGATATGTCACATAGACAGCATATTGAAGGATCCTGTTTTTTGTTTTAATCTATTCTATTGTTTATGTCTCTTGACTGGTGCATTTAATCTATTTGCATTCAGTGTAACTATCAATAAGTATGAATTGATTGTTGTCATTTTTCTGTGTGTGTGTTTTTGTGGTGCTGCTGAATTCTTTGTTCTACATAATTTTCTATGCTGAGTTCTTTTTGCTTGTGGGTTTCCTTGTAATTTTCATTTCTGTGTGTTAATGTTTACTAAATCTCTTTCTGATTTTACTCTCTTTTTGATGTGCAGGTGTATTATTTTTCTTTGAAGTTACCCTGTAAGTTATTAATTTTTCCCTTCTT